TTTTATTTATCTTTTGCTTAGATATATAATTCATGCTTTGTTATTTTTTATGCATATTATACAAACCAAACTGTTTCCTTATGTCACATTTGTATATATGTATGTGTGTTGTTCATGTATGTATGTTTGTACATTTCCTCTTTTAGCAAAAGACTAAAGTGGTGCAATAAACCTACTCCGCTTAAATAAATTTAATGTTTTCATAGTAGGTTTTATCTCTATTGAATAAAGTTAATGTTTTATAAAAGTTTATTTTTCTTTACTGAATGCTTATTTTTTAATTACTTTAGGAACAAGTCACCATGATAAATTTAATAAATATGCAGGTTTCAAAAGGAAAGATGATCGTTTTTGTTTGTAGTTTTTAATTATTGGATGCTTTAATTCTTTGTAATTTCTATTTTGCTAAAATGGGTCCTGGAGGTTTTATTGAATTTGTGTTTGTATTTTGAAGGGCTGGAGTATGAGTAGAAAGATGTGAACCTTTTTAAGGGAGAGCAGATCAATCCAGGTGAGAAACATTTGAGATTTATTATGAATTTAGAACTAGCCGTTAAATTTCCCTAATTTTTGGGTGATAATTGTCATGTTCTGGGAATTTCTACAATAAGATAAAGAAATTTGAGAAAAAAAATTGGTTGTTGACTCTTTTGGTTGGTTTGTCATATGCTCAAAGTAGATATGTTCTTCTTGGATTCATGCTTTAGTATTAGGAAGATGTTATCTTAGAATTTCTGGCATCTGAATCCATATACATATATCTTTCCTCCTCTTCCACATACCAGGCTAAACAAACTTCATGTACTGATTTGTTTGCTATGTTTGTGATCCTCTTCCACATACAAGGCTAAACAAACATCTAAACAGAACTAAACAAACCTGATATTTCTAACTCAAACATCTTATATGGCAGGTTCTAACATTTGCTATATTCCAGATTTGTAACCAAAGAAATCTGATATTTCTAACCTTGCTATATTCCATATTTTGGCGAATGTTAGAACAAATATGTTCCGGTATTAGAAGATGGAGATTTAGTAGTTGCTGATTCGTTTGTGATCCTTTTAGTTAGATATATCAGATGTTTGTTCTAACATTGCTATATTCCATATTCACATTGGCTTTTATATTATTGCTGCTATTGCTCCTCTGCTTGTCTTTCATGGGAAGTCATTGACGTAAGTCATGTCCTTAGAACAGTTGGCTTATTTGGAGTGTTTGATGGTAAGAAATTTTGTCCTCAGAAAAATGTTGGTATATGTTTTTGTTTTCTTATTGCAGAACTTTTAAACCTTTAGATTTTGCATTACAATTTGTGTAAAATTTGTACAAATGTTCAAATAAAACAAGTTTTGCATCTGAGACAACTCATAACTAAGATGCTGGGTCAACATCCTCAAATGCAATCCTTTTTTGTGATAAATTATTAGTAGCAAATATTGGGGACTCGAGAGTCATTATGTGTAAGGGAGGAAAGGGTAAGTCCTCCTATATTTGATCATTTTGGGTATTGGTATCTATTTATCTTTCAAGTGTTCAAATGATTTAAGGATTCATATATGCTTTAAATGATTGAGAAGTGTACATTTCCTCTAGAACTCAGACTCTTACTCGATCGATTGAGAAGTGTACATTTCCTCTAGAACTCAGACTCTTACTCGATCTATTGTTTAAAAATACAGCTGCAGCTCTTTCACGAGACCATAATCCTGGCCAAACTTATGAGCGTCAAAGGACTAAGGATGTAGGAGGTTTGATACTCTGGGCAGGTAAGTTATAATACATTCTGTTTGCATTTATACAATGTATTAAGGTTATATGATCCCTTGTTCACTAAGAGTTGGGTGTGAAACTAACTTTCAACGTGTTGTCTTACTGGTTTGTATACACTTTAGTAAATGACAAGCGTTGAATTTCATCTGCAGAGCTTCCGTATAATTTCTGCCACCAAAATGAATTTCATTTCTGAACGCAAATTCTAAACTTTATCTTCCTGAACATAGGTTTTCAACATACCAACTTCAATCTGTATCATGTGATATCTAATCTGCTATCACCAGCATTGTTTCTTGTCAGTTGGCCCCTCATATTAATTATATGCTCAGTTTATTGAAGTCATAGCTGCATTATTTCACTATTCTCAAAAATATACTGAGGCTAGCATGATGTTTTTGGCTATTCTCATGATTACTGTACATATTTGGTATGAAAAGTTTTTCTGAGGATGTATAGTCGCACTTTCAGATATTTTCTAGGATCCATAACCTTCACATTCAGATATATTTTAGGTATCCAACCTGAAAAACCTGCTACGATCCATTTGGTTATCAAGCCCCACTTGGATTCCTATATACAAGTGATGGCCAGCTGACTGATTTTTGCTTACTTTCCATAGTACATTATTTCTAAATAAAAACTATGAGGAGGAACTTAAAGGAACCATCTTCAGAAGTGTCTATGCAATATATTTCAATCATTTGATCTTTTGTCCTTTTTGATGCAGGAGTTATCAAAATTAGTTGCTAAATTGGCTGAGGAAGGAAAGGTGTTATTTTAATCTTTTAGGGGATATTTTTTCTGTTTATGAGTTAATTTTTATTATTCTTTGTTTTAATCGCTCCTAACATCATATGTTAAGATAATTTATGTGTAATGTAGTATGTTCAGATGCTTTTTAGTTCTTTGTCAAGTTCATTTCTCCTCCATGTATACCACACATGTGCATAAATGAGAATCTCACATGACTCACATAATTTACGAGATTAGAAATCTACTGCATACCACATTATATGTAGGAAGTTGAGTAGCTTCATCATATGTTATGTCCCTCTGTAAAAAATATATTCATCAGTATTCATTTGTGATTTCAAGGTGATTGATATATGAAGAAGGTAAGTTTTATCATGCCCCAAGCTGTGCATATACGAAATACACTGCTTCTGTGTGAGATGTTTAAATCTCCTTGCTGTAAGCAACTTGTTTATGACCATGTAGGAAAATGAAAAATAACAAATATTAGTTTCTGTGTGATCAATAAGACAATAACTTGCTTGATGAAAAACACAAGAATATTCCCTCTAACAAGCAAAAATTTTTTCATTTTGGGAACTTCTTACTCTGTTTGTAAAAGTTTCTATGATGTAAGCCAATGAGCTTTCAAAAAAACAATAAGAAAAGATAAACAAATGTAGCTCCTATAAGTTCACACGGTTTAAAGTTATAGAATTCAGTTAAATAGAAATATCATTATTAATAGTTGTGATAAGTATTCACTGTCTGAAATTGTTTTCTTATAGTCAAGTTGATTTGCTGGCAAGCAAGATACAAATAAAGCTCAAAATTAGATTAGCACAATAAGCTAACTTGGATCTTTAACTCAAGGCGATTAGACCTTAAATCAAAGAGCACCAAGCTCTGATACCAATTGTTAGACCCTAGAGGGGGGGTGATTAGGGTCTTATGCTAATCTAATCCGATTAAATGCCAATTAAAATTAATTAATGAGTTATCCTAGTAAGTATGAAATACAACAATGTATATGAGCTAGGATAAGCAATATGAACAACAAGATATATCCTAACAAAGAGATATAGGCAATGTATGTGCAAGGATATATAAGCTCAAGGGTAAACAATCTAAACTAGATAGTGGGCAATATAATCAACAAGCAATATACAAAGGCGATATAAGATATGAACATAAAAGTAAGTGCGCCAATGCAATCACAAACAAACAATATGATTACGGAGTTCGGTCCCCACGACCTACGTCTCCGCTCCTCACCTCGAGGAGATCTCCACTATCACAACCGGGTTTTCTACGTTCACCCGAACAACGTTTACACCTCACAATACAATCACTATGTAATCACACCTCACACACTAAGTGTTGGTCCTAGCCCGTGTCCTCCTCCTCAAGTGCTCGGTTACAACCTCTCTCTAGGCACGTCAACCGACGCCACTCCTCTTGGATTCGACCCCGTCTCTCACCACACACTTCTCTCGGTGTACAAGTGTATTACAAGTGAATTCTCATAATTAAGCACAATATAAATCAATTGATTGTTCTCTCTAACAAGGTGAGAACTCAATTAAGCACAACTCTTAGTTACAAACCCACAACCCCAAATTATACTATGAATGTAAATACAATAAGCTCAATAGGTTGTGTGTGAACAAAGAGATAAAACAATATGAACTCAATATGAAATCTAGCTTATGAAATTAAGAACAAACTTATAAAATGCTAGAATTGAGTTTAAGGAAACTTCTCTAAAGATGACAAGAGAGTGGGAGAAGAGTGAATGCTCAAACACCAAAGGATGATCTCCACTTGCTCTTGTGAAATTTGCTCCACAAACCAAACTCTTGTAAATGTGAATGCTCAATTTAAACAAACTACGGTCGACCATGGTGGTCGACCATGAAAGTTTCTGATGGCTCCGTAGGGAAAAACAAAGGCGCGGTCGAGCGTGGTGGTCGACCGTAAACTGACATGAAATACAGGTTTGAAACTTGTTTTCTGATTTTAAAATCCTGTTTAAAAATATCAAATAAATTCAGAAAAATGTAAAACTTTGGGAAATGATTGTAGACATGATAATAAACATGTTACAGTGACTGGTTTTGAAAAAGGACTTCCCAAATGAAAAATATCATCATTTTTCAAATATGTTCAAAAACATGAAAACCTGAAAATTGATATTTTGATATTTTGACTTAAACAACATTTTGAAACCTTATGAAATGATTGTATAGACTTGATAAAAGATATAATATGTTGTTATGAAGTCTATAACCTAGAAATACAATATTTTCATAAAATTGCATATTCTATGCAATATATTCAAAACACTAAATATGATTTCATTAAATATAAGCTTGTTAAAGATATTCTATGCAAATATATTCAAAGCACTAAATATGATTTCATTAAAGGGGAAATCATATATAGGCATATAAACATGAAACAAAATAGTATTTTCCAATTCTATTCATTTGTTTCATAGTAAAACTTGAAAACTATCAAACCAAAACATATATGTATATATATAACTATATATATACAAAATCCAAAACGTGTATGTGTGTATATGATTGAGCTTAAAGTACTAACACACATAATATAAATTCCTAAACTAAATTACCCAAGCAATGATCTTGATCTTCAATAAGCTTGACTTGGTAATCTCGCGGATGAAGCTTGAACTTGGATCTTGAACTTTGAATAGCAAGGCTTCACCGACATTCCGCCAACCTCCTTTGGATGTGATCGTTGAAGCTCTATTCCATCCATCCTCCAACACGTTGTTTGCCTAGAATAAATACGAAAACACAAACACTAGACAAACAACATTAGTAATAAATTAGTTGTTAAACATCATCAAAACAAGAATGCCAAAAATCTCCCCTTTTTTGATGATGACAAAAAATTTACAAAAAGGAATATATGCATGAAGGAAGTGAACATGTACAAGATAATACACATGCATATAAATGTATACTCACAATATTTCTCCCCCTTTGACAACATCAAAAAGGGGACAAAAGGATTAAGAGAGCGAAAGCTCCCCCTATCAATAAGCATAGGTGAGTATAAAAAAGATATAGAAAGATATAGGGATTGCTCCCCCTATCAAAAAGCCATATAGATTATATACAATGAAGATCAAGGCAAAACATATGTGAGCAAGCATACATGAATATGCTAAAAATTTACTCACATACATGAAGATAATGAGAACACATATAAATATGCCAATATGAAAATAGTGTCTCATTAACACAAAAAAAATATAAAAACCATATAAAAGAATAGATTTATGAAATCAAAAGAAGAGGAACATGAGAATCATGCAAAAAGTTTTCAAATGAAAACAAATCAACCAAAAGAAATCATAAATCAAAGTTTATTTTCAAAAACAATGTTTGATCAATAAAGAAAATTTTGTCTTTACATAACTTGATCAAACCACTCATAGAATACATTATAAAGCACAAATAGATGATCCATTAGCACAAACACATAAATATCATCATATAAGTGAATTATAATGAATTCAAAAGCAACAAATCAAAACACAATTTTTAAGAGAGGCAACAATTATATCAAGCTCTTTAGCTTGTTCCAACCCATATAATCATTTAAGCATCCGGTAAACATGATTTGGGAATAAACACCCAATAAATCCGGGGGGTTATATAAACATAAACCTCTCATCAAAACAAAACCAATAACCATGAAAACAAAAGAATTAAAAAAAAATGTTTTCATATTCAAAAGTTTAAAGTATAATTTTTCAAAAACCAAGAAAAAGAAAAAAGAAAAACACTAAAATTCTTGGTATAAAAATTAAATTTGTTTTGGTACCCAAGAACTCTTGGTACCAAACGATTTAGGGACATGACCCCTATCATTCAAGCTCAAAGCCCTAGGGTTATGAACCCATTTGGGCGCATTTAGTGCACGGGTCCGGTCATAGCAATAATTATGCAAATAACTCATTCGATTGCAATAAGTGCAATGAAGAGAATGCATTTGGTTATGTTGACCATGTGGATGTGCACGAGGAACATTTGCAAATAAAGATGGTCTTTTAAGATTATTTTGCAAATGAGAAACATTTTGAAATAATGTTGGTCTACTTAAAATATTTTGCGATTTAAAAACTTTTCGCAAATCAAAACAAAACTTAGCTAAGTGACCAACTCTACCACAAAAATCACAATGATACACATTAGCATGCTTATGATGAACAATGGGTGCATGTGTGTGTACATGTGATGAAGAAGAAGCCTTATGAGATGCACAAGAAGAATTAATATTCTTATGTTTTTGTGCATCATAGCAAAACTTAGCTAAATGGCCTTTTCGACCACAAATGGAGCATTTATAAGTTTTACTATACAAGTGTGCAAAGTGTACGGGTTTAGAAGTTGTAGTACTAGACTTTGCACCCAAGTCCATAAGTTTCTTATTATCTACAATGCATGTTTTAAGGGTTGAATCTAAAGATGATATTCGGTTTTTCACAAGATTCAATTCATCATTATGCATACAAGCATTGGAAATAGAAGTAGATGAAACATGATCATTTCTAAAAGAATTAAACTTATTTCTAATAGTTTCTACTTCTATCATGGCATTATTATTAGCATGAGTTAAGCTAGCAATAGATGAAGACATGTTATTATTTTCCAAACTTAATAACTCATTGTTTTCTTTTAAAATAACATTCTCTTTAACAACAATATCAAGTTTAGAAGCTAGCGACTCATGATCGGATTTCAAATCTACATGCTTGCTTTTAAGATCAATAAAATTATTTTGCAAGAGTTCATCAATAGATAAATCATGAATAGATAAATCATTATCGGAATCGGAATCGCTTACTACACAAGAGTTATCCTCTTGTGGCCGAGTGCATGATGCTCCACATGAACTTGAAGAAGAATCCTCCAAAGCTTGTCGGATTGCCTCCAAGTCCCCTTGATGTGCTTCAATAAATTTCCAAAGTTTGTAAGCACTATCAAAATGAACAAATTTGTTAGAAAATGATGAGTCAAAGGCATTAAGCAAATATTCTAACAAAAGCTTGTTCATATTAAACATTTTATTATCATGATTGCTCCACTTAGATTTCTCCAATGTGGGCACAATATAAGCACAATCAATAATTTTCCATAAGTCAATATTTCTAGATTCAACAAATAGTTTAAATCTAGAAGCCCATTGTGCATAGGAAAAATTAATGAATTTAGGAGCAACATTGGATTTATAGCCTAAACAAAATACATTCATATTCAAGATATATATATGAACATATGCAAGCAAGACAAATGCAATCATAACTAGATTAGCACAAATAAGATAACTTGGATCTTTAACTCAAGGCGGTTAGTCCTTAAATCAAAGAGCACCAAGCTCTGATACCAATTGTTAGACCCTAGAGGGGGGGTGATTAGGGTCTTATGCTAATCTAATCCGATTAAATGCCAATTAAAACTAATTAACAAGTTATCCTAGCAAGTATGAAATACAACAATATTTGTAAGCTAGGATAAGCAATGTAAACAATAAGATATATCCTATATGATGAATTATATATGCAAGGATATATAAACTAACACAAGGGGTAAACAATCTAAACAAGATAGTGGATGATATAGATAATGAGCTAATGACAATGGCGATATAAGATATGAACATAAATATGAATGAACGCCAAAGCACACTCAAACAAGCAATATGATCACGGAGTTCGGACCTTCCGTCCTACGTCTCCGCTCCCCACTCCCGGGGAGAAATCCCCTATCACAACCGGGTTTTCTACGTTCACCCGAACAACGTTTACACCTCACAGTATCGGTTTTCAACGCTCACCGATCAACGTCACTCCTCACACTCGGTTTCTAGCTCACCGAAAACCTCACTACACACTCGGTTTCTAGCTCACCGAAAACCTAACAATCTCACAATGTAACAAATATAAATTTGTTCTCTATAATAGATGAGAACACAATGAAAGCACAACTCAAAGTTACAATCTCTCACCACCCAACTATACTATGTATGCAAATACTATAAGCTCAATGTGGGTGTGTGTAACAATGAGTAAAATAAAATCTAACTCAATTAACAAACTAGCAATAATAAGAATATGAAAATCAATAATGAAATTGCTAGAGAAAAGAGTTAGAAAACTTCTCTAAGAACACAAGAAGAGGATGAAGGGGATTGAGAATGAATCCCTCAATCTGCAGTTAAAGCTTCCTCCTTTGTCAACAGAAACTCAAACTCAAACAACAGTAAAACCCTAAACCCTTGCTTAAACTTTTCTTTTCTTTTAAAACATTTCTTAGTTGGCTTGAGAGTTGAAGACAATGGGGTATTTATACCCTCTCACAACTCAGCCAAGAAACCAGAGCAAAAGACAAAACAGCCCCAAGGCAACGGTCAAAAAACTAGCCGTTGGAAGCTGAAAACAACATCGTCGGTCGACCGGAAAATTCGTCGGTCGACCGAAAATTTTCATCGGTCGACCGGACCGGTCGACCGACAGGCTTTCTGTCGCCCAGTGAACTTTTGACCTCAGGTTCGGTCGACCGGTGCGGTCGACCGAAAACTGATATGAAAACTGTTTATCTGATTTTGAAATGCTGTTTAAAAATATCAAATAAATTCCAAAAAATGTAAAACTTTGGGGAATGATTGTAGACATGATAATAAACATGCTACAACGACTGGTTTCGAAAAAGGACTTCCCAAATGAAAAATATCATCATTTTACAAAATAGTCCAAAACATGAAAACCTGAAAATTGATATTTTGATATTTTGACTTAAACAACATTTTGAAACCTTATGAAATGATTGTATAGACTTGATAAAAGATATAATATGTTGTTATGAAGTCTATAACCTAGAAATGCAATATTTTCATAAAATTGCATATTCTATGCAAATATATTCAAAGCACTAAATATGATTTCATTAAAGGGGAAATCATATATAGGCATATAAACATGAAACAAAATAGTATTTTCCAATTCTATTCATTTGTTTCATAGTAAAACTTAAAAACTATCAAACCAAAACATATATGTATATATATAACTATATATATACAAAATCCAAAACGTGTATGTGTGTATATGATTGAGCTTAAAGTACTAACACACATAATATAAATTCCTAAACTAAATTACCCAAGCAATGATCTTGATCTTCAATAAGCTTGACTTGGTAATCTCGCGGATGAAGCTTGAACTTGGATCTTGAACTTTGAATAGCAAGGCTTCACCGACATTCCGCCAACCTCCTTTGGATGTGATCATTGAAGCTCTATTTCATCCATCCTCCAACACGTTGTTTGCCTAGAATAAATACGAAAACACAAACACTAGACAAACAACATTAGTAATAAATTGTTTGTTAAACATCATCAAAACAAGAAGGCCAACAAATCTGATTACTTAAAAAGGGTATAGATCCTATATCATAACTTAGTTTTTAAACTATCTTGGTGTTAAATATCCATGACAATCTATCAACCAATTCATGTTAAAAATTATTATGTAATAGATATTGCAATGAGTAATGAAATTGATGTATTCACGATACTTATAGATGAAACCATTGTATTATCGCCCAATCAACCAATAAATATAATTTAATTGTTCAAATGTTGAATGTTTAGATTATGTCTATACGCTTTATCCATTACTTACATTACATAATTTTATAAAAAAAAAAACAGGATAAAAAATTTAAAAATTTTAAACAAAAAATGAAAAATTAACCACGTGCATTGCACGTGCAATCCAACTAGTAATTTCTAAAAGAGTGTCATTAGAGAAATAATTTGTTGGGCTAAATTATTTGGGTTTCTATTATTTTATATAAAGCAACCCAAACAGTCACTTTCTGCCTTCGTTGCTCTCTCCCCTGTGTCTCCCTCTCTTCGAGCAAATCGGCGAGTCCTTCTCTTCTCAATTTAATATTCAGATCGATCGGAGTCCTGCTCTCTCTAATGGCGGCCGCCTCCTTTGCTCGCCCCTCCTCTCTCAGCTTTAGCTCCCGAGACGGCATCAAAACGCCCAGAAAACCCAAATTTTTCGGGCCCATTCGCGCTTCTTCATCTCCTCCTCCTCCTCCGATCGCGCTCCGATTCGATCCCAAAAAGGTCCCTTTTCCGCTTGCCTCATCTGAATACCCATCTTACGATTCACGATTTTATGTTTTGTACTCGTCAAAGTTTGCATATTTCGCTCAATTCCATTTTAAAGAATTGAACTTTTCGTTCTCGGTTTTGGTTAGGAGTAGCAAATTATGTAGCGAAGAAGATGAAGGTTTCGGTTTTTTTTTTCCAGTGGGCTCCGGAAACTAAAGCCATATGTTTTGGTGGAAATTTGGATTGTAATTAACGAGAAAAGAAATGACCTTTCTATTTGCAGTGTTTAAATTCTCAATCACTATCCTCAGAATGTTACAAGCTAAAATGTAGCATTTCGTTTCCAACTCATTGAAATTATTTCTTCTTCTTTATACCCTACTAATGATCTGCAAATCTCAGAGGATCACTACTCATCATATTCGGATGGTTCCTATTAAAATGATTACTCGGGTTTAAAACCTTATTATATTGAAGGAGAAGAGAAAATGCAAGGACTTGGAAGAGTTTTGAACATTCTCTAGTGGATGCAAACCTATAATACAATAGAATTTCGGTGATTATGTGATCTCTTCTTTGTTTGCATGAGTTCAGGTTATTCTTTAGTTGCGAAGCCAGAGGTTAATTAGCTTATCTGCTTGAACCCAAAATCAAAACTTTATAAGAAACAAGAAACAATGAAACATTACTAGAGGAAAGTATGTTAATTTCTTTACCTTTGACCTTTGATGATTTTGGTGTTTAGGTGATTAAACCTTCCTCCCTTCCCGCATACATGTTCCATTGCCATTCAGACAAAAAGGAATCTACACTGTGATCAATTGATTATATTGTTATCATGAAGCAAATCTATATGATTTATATTGTTGTAGAGCATTATTTAGCTTTGACTATATCTTTAGTATTTACGAGGCACTGACAGGAAATGGACCTCAATCGATTTTTTATGTTTAGGTTGAATGCTTACTGGATAGTGTAAAATGGGACGAGAAAGGATTAGCTGTGGCTATTGCTCAGAATGTGGACACTGGAGCTATTTTGATGCAAGGATTTGCAAACAGGGATGCCCTTGCTGCCACGATTTCATCTCAGAAGGCAACTTTTTATAGTCGTTCACGATCATCATTGTGGACAAAAGGGGAGACTTCAATTTCATCTCAGAAGGCAACTTTTTATAGTCGTTCACGATCATCATTGTGGACAAAAGGGGAGACTTCAATGAACTTTATAAATGTCAAAGACATTTTTCTCGACTGTGATCGTGATTCGGTGAGTCCTGCTAGAGAGTTTCCTTCCGAAACTCTGGCCTCTTGGAAAATTTTATTCTGACATATTAGCTTTAATTCCACTTATTAGATAATATATCTTGGGAAACCTGATGGGCCCACATGCCACACTGGGGCAGAAACGTGTTACTATTCATCTGTTGCTGATCTCTTGGAAGAGCCACAGGTTTGTGAGTCTTGAAACTCAATATTCATGTATCATGTTTTTTTTGTTCCTTTATTCCTTCCTCACTGTATAGCTTTCCATATGACATACATCAAGAAATATCACGATTTATATTTAATGGTGAATTTGTTACAGACCAAAAAGGAGCGGCTGGCATCCACAACTCTGTATTCACTAGAGTCTACAATTTTCCAACGTAAAGCTGAAATCGAGACAACACAAAATGGAAAGCCATCATGGACCAAGAAGTTATTGTCTAATGAAGAACTGCTTTGTTCGAAAGTACTGTAAGTTCCTCTTTCTCTATATGTGTGTGTTTGTGTGTGTTTGTGTTTGTGTGCGCGTGCACGCGTGCGTGCCCGTGTGAGCGTGTGTTCACTCTCTCTCAATAAAGCACATGTGGCCTATGGGCGTATATGAGCACGCTCTGCATACTTCTATTGGTATTTGGCTAGCTAATTTTGTCTAATTTACAGCAAAAAATATGAACCTAATTCAATGCTATTTGGTTCCTGAGAACATGAATTCCATTATTTCACTTAATGAATACATCCCCTTGAGTGACAAAAACAAATAGTCAGGTTGAGAGATACAAGGATGAAAAACAAATAATGAAGCAGATAAATCTGGAGATAAAAGTTCTCTAGTATATGTTGGAACCATTTAGTGATTGAACTTGATTGAAGTAGAAGTCATCTTGAAAATACTCATTGAGAATAGTTAAGGAAATTCTTTTGCATATTATTATGATTAGTTAGCCGCATTCTTGCTTATCATATTGTTAAAATAACAAGAGCACTTAATGTATTGGAGAATAGTATTGCTGTGGTCTCATGTCTAGTTTGCGATGATTGATTTTAGTTTCCACATGTGTCCTCTGAGTGTTCTGTCAGTACTTGATAGCTTTCCAGCCTTTGAGTGGTTGTAATCAAGTCTATAGTTTATCAGGGGTACCAGGATAAAATGACAAACTATGAAGAGTCTAATGTTCTCTCTCAAGGTTGTTTGCTGTTGTATAGTCATGTCCAGCACCTGATTTGACAAGCATTTTTTTGAAATTATTTTGTTGCTAATTCCTTGACCATAATTGAGTCTTTATAGAAGCATGTTGCTGAACTATGTTGCATGGGGACGGGTACAGATACCGATACGGGTACGGGGTACGGGACATGGCAAATTTACAAAAAGTAGGTTACAGTGAAACGGCTATATGAATATTTATTGCACATATATTATATATTGAAATTTATGGTTTACATGAGATGAGATCAATATATTTTTCATTCACGTGTTATGAGAATTAAAAATCCTATTAACATTTTTATGTTTCTTTATTATATGGATTATAAATTGGAAAAACACTCTTTTTTGAACTAGAGACCCAGACAACCATTAAAATTACAGTTTGGAGTCCAACAAGTTTCAAGAAGTGGAAGTGGATGTGAAGTGTAGGAAATATGTCCAGGAAACGTTTGACAAGTGTTCTAAATCAAAGCATAAATTGTTTAATTGAGTACATGCCCAAACAAATGTATGCATCTATGCATGGAGTGCCCAAGCAATTTGGGTATGGGTTCAGGTATGGCTTCAAGATACAAGTACCCAGGTAACATAGTTGCTGAAGGTATTGGTGATACTTTCTTGTTTTATTTTATTCTGGTTAGTTTTTAGTTTCTGATGCATCTACATTTAGCTGTTCTTTTCCTCTTCTAGTTATCTACCACACCTCCAGTTACCCTATTTCTTTTATAACACTGTTAAATAAACTGAAGAGAAGGGGTTATCTCCATTTCTTTATTGACTTGTAAGATGACCTCAGGATCCTCTTACCTCAGTTATTGATAAATTGGGCAACATTTATTTCCCATACATATACACAAAAATTGATACGTCGTCTGTGTATATGTACATATGTATGTACATACCTTTGTATGTATGTATATACGTTTATTGTGTGGTTGGTGTGCGTTCACACATGTTTGTATATATGTATGTGCCCAAGCAAACAAGCATGCATGTATGTAAAATCCAGTCAGAATAAATTAAAAGAGTTCGGAGACAAGATTGTATATAGCTCATAGAGGCTTATTGATACCGGCATTTGGCCACGACAAGATCTGTAGCTTTAGGTTGAATTCAATGTCAAGTAACCACATGATACAGGCATAGAGCATTCTTGATATGATTGAGAAATAAGCTATCATTCAGAAATTATAAAGTTGCAAAGAGCACATTAGTCTAGGCCTTTTAGGATGCACAAGGGACCTAAAAATTGCCATTGTCATTATCATCGGCATGCTAGTATTTTCCTGTCAGGACTTAGGTCATCTATGGCGCATAAAGCTTCACAAAACATTTAACAAAACTTCCAAGATCTTGCAACTGGTTTACATTAATAGGTAGGAACTATTTTTCAAATCAAGAAAGTATATTCAAAAGAGAGGCCTACCATGAGCGCTAGAAGACTAGATGGTTGGTAGGATTATTATACTCACTAGCTCAAAGCTGGTTTGAATTAAAGGCTACCTTGTGGATTCAAGGTTTTTAGTGCATTCAAGGCTACTAAGTAGTTGAAGGCTGAAGCTGCGAAGGCTACCTTGTGGATTCAAGGTTTTTAGTGCATTCAAGGCTACTAAGTAGTTGAAGGCTGAAGCTGCGATAATTTCTTTGTGCTTCCGACTAATTACTGATGTAGTATTTGCACGTTCGGTTGTGGAACTTCTTGACCTTGAGTTGGGGTTACAAATTGCTTAATAGACATTCCTTAAGTGGGAAAAGGCATAGATGATGATGATGACTCATGTGCTAAAAAAACTACGTATATCCATACATCCGTTAATCATGACACATCATGTGATCCATCGTGCAAGGATTTTTTGAAGTCTTCTTGTAATTTTAATGATTATTATGAGTACCTGAATTCTGAAAGTATCCAATACCTCCCTTTAAGTATACAAGTGTTAATATGGAATACCTTCTCCTAAATTGGAATTGAAAAATATATTATCCCTCCTTTGATTTCTCATAAGGAGGGACAATCATGACATGCTTTTCTTCTTAGGACACAAAAGATGGCATTTTGACATATTCAATGAGCCTAATATGGATGTATCTTCATGTTGAGTGTTGATCATGTATTGGTTAGTATGTTAGAAAAACAATAATGATGTTTTCGTTATCTTTTTTGTTATTTGGAAATGCAAGTTCTGATGACTCTCTATGGCCTCATAAATGGTTACATTTGACGCCACTTCTGGCATTTGATGTATGTGCACAAAGTAGCATGTAGCCAGTGGCTGTGCCAGAAATTTTATCAAGGGGGTCCAACAAATTATTAAACATGGTAACATTAATTATTTTTTGCACAATTGATTAGCATCTAACCATCATTACATAACAAGACTTTCGAAATCATAATTTCAATTAGAATACAGTGTTTACAATAACATTCTTCTTCCCTTAATTTCGGGAAACAATCTAATGAGTTCAACCTCATCAATGTTAAAAATTTGTATTTTTCAATATAAGTTACCAAATCATTTATATACCCATTTCTCATTGGGTTTTAAAGGTCATTCATAATAATTTTCATTGCCGAAATACTCTTACAACATGTTGCAAGAGACAGGATTAGTGCTAACTTCACCCCCTTTGTACACCAAAGGATAAAAATATCCATCTTCCAACTTCTTAGCAAGTTTGTCAATCGCTTCCATTTCATAAAAATCACGATGAGTAGCTACATAACAGAAGTTGTATTGATCGCTGAGCTCATGCGATCTATTTTAGAAAAATCTTTATATTAGAACTTCAAAATCTTTCATGTAATTTGTTGTAATATTATTAAAGTATCCTAATTTTTGTTAAACCCTAGAGTTACATTACTAATACCTCAAAAAGATATATAAATAAAGTCTATTCATAAAAATGCTCGTCATAAAATGGTAAATAGTTAAATTACATCTTACTAAAATTGAAAAGAAGCAACAAGGGTGAAAAAGAGCGGAGTGAGCATTGTTGGGTACTTGGGTTTCAGTCACAAGTTGTAGCATGCCAAAGAGGAATCAAAATTTTTTTTTTTGCGAAGTTGAGGTAATTTATGCATTTTAACTGCCAATAAATTAAGTATAAATACCAACTACTCCTTATCTTTTCTTACTATTTTAAGGGGATCAGGGCCCCGTTGGCCCTAATATGGATGCGCCCTTGAATGTAGCATAGATATTTAATGAAGATAGGACATATCACTTAATCTAACACTGACTGAGTGAGCATTAGTAAGTTCTGCAAGAGATAATTGAGGGTCTAGATTAAGAATTTCTATTTTCATTCCTTTTGGTTTCATTCTTTATGTTGCTTTCTCTGGAAACAAGTCAAACACATTTTGTTTAGGTACTAAGGCATAGGTTGAAAACTGTTCTGTTTGATGTCTCCCTATGGAAAAAACACCCTCCATTTGAAGGTTTGGTTTGACAAAAATGAACAGCTCGGAGGGATGAAACACAATGCATAGAGAAGAAAGAAGGAAAAACAATAGGATGAGAACTAGGAAATTTTTTACGCATTTACTTATTAGTGCAAATCTGCTTAGTGGCAATATTAGTCCATTTATCCTTTTTTTCCATGATCATTTTGTTAAAGAGAATTATTTGTCACATTGGGTGAAATATCAACGAGAAGAGTGAAATTATAATCTTGTCAAATCAACCCGTAAACTCATCCTAGTATTTGATACATCTTCAGATTTGTGTAAGCCATATATTAGCTATTATATTCTTTTGAAACGAACATGGAGAACTAGTTCCTATGTGATGATATGCCCTAACTTCTTAAAGTCATAATATGACCATTTATGAATTGCTATTTTCTTTGAGGTTTCAATAACCCCCTCATATGCTCATTAAAATCACAAAAGATTTACCAGTTTCAAAAAGAATTAGTAACCCAATTTCTAAGGTTGGAAGTGATTATGTACTTCTAGTATGAAGTTGATATATTGATCTGTGATGATATGCCCTAACTTCTTAAAGTCATAATATGACCATTTATGAATTGCTATTTTCTTTGAGGTTTCAATAACCCCCTCATATGCTCATTAAAATCACAAAAGATTTACCAGTTTCAAAAAGAATTAGTAACCCAATTTCTAAGGTTGGAAGTGATTATGTACTTCTAGTATGAAGTTGATATATTGATCAGGGTTATAATTTTATAGTGTAACATTCACAAACATAACATGGATGCCTATATTTGAGGGTTACAATTTTATAGTGTAACATTCACAAACATAACATGGATGCCTATATTTGAGGGTTACAATTTTATAGTGTAACATTCACAAACATAACATGGATGCCTATATTTGAGGGTTACAATTTTATAGTGTAACATTCACAAACATAACATGGATGCCTATATATGCAGTGGCATTACATCTAATCAATGACGAAGTCCCATGAGGACATTTATCTGTCCATCGTGTCTGGATCTTAAGGAAACATGTATTAGTTGTTTATTATTAACTTTTTTTCTAAGATTGAGGTAGATAAGAGTTCAACCTTTAAGGTTCATGCAATTAGCTTATACTAAAACTTTACTAAATCATTGCCTTTTTTTAACTTCATTGATATATCAGCAGTTAGCTTCTCTAACCAATCTTATCTTTAACTAATTTGTGTGTAGCTAGTGAAGGATCATGCTTATTCATGCTTCCTGTACCTTGAATTTTCTTTTTATGGCCCTTGGAACCTTTCAAATCTAAGAGGACTATTGCAGGATCTTGTTAGGCCATAATGCATGTCTGAACTCTTTTCTCAAGCATTGAGTTTTTCATGAATCAGAAGGTGAACAATCTCAATGAAGCCATAACAACCATGGTCGCAAGTTTCAGAATCAATAACGATACATATAGTGACAAAGGCCCGTAGCGTTGTGTTGATGGATGTTTGTTTGATATTTATGCGTTTAGTCATATTTAACTAGTTGTCTATCTGTTGTCTTACTAATGCAAGAAAAAAAAATAAAACCCCATCTTCAACTTTGTTTATAGGTTTCATTTCATATGACAGGATAGCCGCTAATTACTCTAAACAAATTTATTAGAATTTACACCGTTATAAAATAGCATTTACACCTGAACTGCAGATGATATTATTTCTCCTGTTTGGTTGAGGTCATGTGGGAATTACTTGATGATAAATTACCCTTTGCCTCTAGTTTAACCAAAAGAAAAATTCCCTAAGGACCCAATATATGGGAGCAACAGGGGGGACATGTGAGGCTAATGATGACCAGCTCATTATGCAATAGGAGGAAGACACCTCATTTGTCCCCCTATTTGTCCTATATTTTAGGTCCCTGTAGCAAAGCTCCAACCAAAAAGGTTAAATTGTCCTCTAAAGCGTATAAGTGACTTCGACATCATAGTACAACTACTGAAGAATGACTATCACATATAATAGTGACACTATCATGCTAGCATACTCGCTTCCTAACGCTATTATTATCTTTATCAGAGAAGAGGCAGGAGAGCTCGTCCAGACGCTAAAAGAAAATGAGGATAAATCTCGTGCTGCTTCAGAGATGGGAGATTTGCTCTACCACTGCTTGGTGCTCCTCGGTCTCAAGGATGTGAAGGTAGAAGAAGTCCTCGAAATCCTTAGAAAGAGATTTTCACAGTCTGGCATCGAAGAAAAGAGGAGCCGACTAACCAAAAACCACTTGATACTTATGCCCACATATGAATATACACTCTTAAAGTCCCTGCCACTGCACTAGAACTCCAAAGTTGTGGTGAGGGTTGAGGGTTATAATTTTATAGTGTAACATGCCTCCGTAGGTTGAGTGTCCTTTTTATGGGCCGAAATCTGGACTCACGTAGCGGTGTGAATTTTTCTTTTTAAATCCGCTTTTAAATTCGTGGTCGGTATGAATTGGTTTTGTTGCTCTGACACCATTTTAAAGTCCGTACCGCTGCACCCAAACTCTTAACATTGCAGTGAGGGTTGAGGGTTATAATTTTATAGTGTAACATTCACAAACATAACATGGATGCCTATATTTGAGGGTTACAATTTTATAGTGTAACATTCACAAACATAACATGGATGCCTATATATGCAGTGGCATTACATCTAATCAATGACGAAGTCCCATGAGGACATTTATCTGTCCATCGTGTCTGGATCTTAAGGAAACATGTATTAGTTGTTTATTATTAACTTTTTTTCTAAGATTGAGGTAGATAAGAGTTCAACCTTTAAGGTTCATGCAATTAGCTTATACTAAAACTTTACTAAATCATTGCCTTTTTTTAACTTCATTGATATATCAGCAGTTAGCTTCTCTAACCAATCTTATCTTTAACTAATTTGTGTGTAGCTAGTGAAGGATCATGCTTATTCATGCTTCCTGTACCTTGAATTTTCTTTTTATGGCCCTTGGAACCTTTCAAATCTAAGAGGACTATTGCAGGATCTTGTTAGGCCATAATGCATGTCTGAACTCTTTTCTCAAGCATTGAGTTTTTCATGAATCAGAAGGTGAACAATCTCAATGAAGCCATAACAACCATGGTCGCAAGTTTCAGAATCAATAACGATACATATAGTGACAAAGGCCCGTAGCGTTGTGTTGATGGATGTTTGTTTGATATTTATGCGTTTAGTCATATTTAACTAGTTGTCTATCTGTTGTCTTACTAATGCAAGAAAAAAAAATAAAACCCCATCTTCAACTTTGTTTATAGGTTTCATTTCATATGACAGGATAGCCGCTAATTACTCTAAACAAATTTATTAGAATTTACACCGTTATAAAATAGCATTTACACCTGAACTGCAGATGATATTATTTCTCCTGTTTGGTTGAGGTCATGTGGGAATTACTTGATGATAAATTACCCTTTGCCTCTAGTTTAACCAAAAGAAAAATTCCCTAAGGACCCAATATATGGGAGCAACAGGGGGGACATGTGAGGCTAATGATGACCAGCTCATTATGCAATAGGAGGAAGACACCTCATTTGTCCCCCTATTTGTCCTATATTTTAGGTCCCTGTAGCAAAGCTCCAACCAAAAAGGTTAAATTGTCCTCTAAAGCGTATAAGTGACTTCGACATCATAGTACAACTACTGAAGAATGACTATCACATATAATAGTGACACTATCATGCTAGCATACTCGCTTCCTAACGCTATTATTATCTTTATCAGAGAAGAGGCAGGAGAGCTCGTCCAGACGCTAAAAGAAAATGAGGATAAATCTCGTGCTGCTTCAGAGATGGGAGATTTGCTCTACCACTGCTTGGTGCTCCTCGGTCTCAAGGATGTGAAGGTAGAAGAAGTCCTCGAAATCCTTAGAAAGAGATTTTCACAGTCTGGCATCGAAGAAAAGAGGAGCCGACTAACCAAAAACCATAGTTGATATTATCGCAACGTTGTAATCCGTTGTTTCCATATCATCTCCTTTAGTGATGGAATGTGGTTCTTGAATTTGCTAACGTACAACGATAGTGACCGTTTGTAGAAAATGTATTTTGCTTGTTCTTGATGATAAATGTCACTTGGCATGCTTATAAATTGCAAACGTCAAATTTGTTTTTATTTTCTTTTTGAATTGATAAGGTGCGTAATTCTTGCTTTCTTTCTGTCTCAGGAAATTCTTCAAGGGGCTTGTTTTGAGTAGCATAAGATAGAGATGCAACCATTAATTTGTAGGAAAGTCAGAACTCAGTTGCGTCCGATTCAGTTACAAAAAATGATGCAGTCCTTTGCATCGAATAAAAAGTCAAAAATGTTATCGCCCTATCATCAAGTTAATTGCGTTTTTTAACTTAGGAAATGTATAGCATTTTACAAGTGCAACTAATCAAGACTTGATTTGAATTAAAATTAAAAAATTTTGGAGAGAGAGAGAGAGAGAGAGAGAGAATAATATTGGATTTGCGTTAAGACAGGTTTGATAACTAGAGATGTTAAAAGCTAAAATTGTGAACGAAGAGAAATATTGGATTTTCGTTAAGACAGGTTTGGAACTTATGAGCACTCAATGTGGTGATAATTAGATGTTTTAAAAGCTAAGGTCAACGTGAACAAAGAGCATCCAAAAAATTTAAATAAAGATTGTTAAATATATTGAAATAACTATGAATTAAAGAATGATAAATATTTTAATCACTATGAGTTAATTTAAAAAAGCATATTATTGTTGAGAGTGGGATTTGAACCCACGCCCTTTCGGACCAGAACCTTAATCTGGCGCCTTAGACCAACTCGGCCATCTCAACATTGTGTTATCTGTTTTCGCAGACGATTAATGTTAAATTTTAAATAATTGTTTTTCATGCTGTCTTTAATCACAATTTTCTTCTAATCATATATACATATATGTATATGGAGAAACTTGGTACCAAGTTTTTTCATTGAACTTGGTAGTGATGTGACCAAATCTAACCCCTACATCACGCCTCGAAGATGAAGCCTAATTTTTGGAGCAGGTGAATAGTGATTGAGACTCTATCTTCGAGACATGATGTAGGGGCCAGATTTGACCATATTACTACCAAGTTCGATGGAGAAACTTGGTTGTTTATATTGTCCATCCTTCATAGTAGCTATCAGACTTCCAATTGAGAAACTTCGCCTTGTAAACCCACTTTGTTTCCATTGAGACATCCACCAAATTGAGAAGATAAAATAATAGTTGAAAATCTAGGTTCAAACAAGGCGTCATTGGAGGCTCAACAATGCGTCACGCGAATTTAATTTAACTCCTCGAGTTACTAATCTGCAGAAGATTTTTTCCCGTTCGGTATCGTTTCAAATTAAAGATCCTCAAGACTTGGAAGAATCATGTCAGAATGAAGATGGTCAGCGTCTACTCGAATTCGAGACACCCAACATGCCAAGACTCCAAACTCGGCTCTAAAACATTTTTAAAAGTGAATGTGATGGGGTTGACATTTACCTTTAGAAGAGAAGCACAGCCACCGTTCCTCTGTGGCCTGAAGCGATCTCTTGACATTTTACCTTAGAAATTTGAGATGATTGGATGTGATATTTGTGACAAAGTTTTTAATTAACCATGTCTCTGGGGGCCGACGTAGCTTGGTTCCAATTGATACTTGTCGCCGGGGACTCACACGTGCCACCTACCAAAATAGAACGTGATCTCAACGGTGAAGTTGTGGCCTAATGTGAGACTTTGATTTTACCCAAGAGAAGATGACCTCTTTTTTGTACAATCGCTCCAAGTTCTCTCTCTTTTCTCTCCTCAAGATCTCACCTTTTTAGATCTGCAAAATTCTGTTAAAACTCTCTGCTGCAGCCGGCAAACCCTCTGTTTGAAACCCTAGGACGATGTTCCTATTTATACCAAGAAAACAGGGCCAAAAAACCGAATCTGGGCCCAAATACCCGCTGTCTCAGCGCGGCCTGAGACACCTTGAGGTGTCTCGTGCCGAGACACCCAAGGGTGTCTCACGCTCACAACATCCTTCTTTAAGTTTTCTTCTTTCTAGTATTTGTTGATGGTAATTTTGTTAATTTGATCACGGGTAGGATATAATCCTACAGTCCAAGTCCAACTACTAACATGTATAAACTTAGTATCCGATCCCTTTCCTCATAACAGCAAACACGGGAAACAAACAACTACTCACTCGGTAAAGCCTTATATATGTAGAGAGATTTTCCTCCTTAACAATGATGTGACACAATCCCCACCATGTGAAGGAGAGAGAATTTTACATGGTGGGGATTGTGCAATATTAGTCTCAAAGAGGGAATCATCCTCCTTATCAAGGATACCCATTAATCTCATATATATTATCACGCCCCGCTTCCCAAAATACCCGGGAATTGGAATGTGAACAAGCCCGCGACGTATTAGATTGAGAAAAAATATACACTATTATTTTTTTCTTTTTCTTTTCTTCTCAATCCAATACGCTAAGCGTCTGGAAATAAATACAATGCGAAGTCACAGGTCCCCGATCACAATCAGCAAGAATATAATGGACAAACTCAGAATAAAAATATCATATCACAAATGGGATAACATCTGAGACATAATATTCGGGTCAAACATGCCCTTATACAAATCTGAACAAATGAACTGAAGAAATATGAAATACATTGATCAGGCACGAATGAAAAGAACTACAAAAGTAAACTAGAACCATTAACTAATCAATGAAAAGAATTGGCTTCGACTCCTTCTTCTGCTCCGTCTACAGGGTACTCCTGCTGAGAATCCTCTAGCTCCTGATGAACATGTTATTCCTTTAAGTCTGACGTACACCAGAGAAAACAGGTGTACGTCAGCGTGTATGGCACACATCAAGATCCTACAAAACAAATAGAATAACAAAAACCAAAGCGGAAAACGGTACGATAACAGAATGACAAAAGAAACGTACAACTGGAAATCTAACAAAATCAACATGCAAATTCACTACTAAAACATGATTATCATAAGAATCCATAAATCAATCGGGTACAAAGTCATGCAGCTAGTGATCAGACTAATCATCCAAGTGACAAAGTCATACAACTAGATAGAATTAGTACTTAAAAATCTACAACTCGAGACGTACTACGTCGAGCGAAATAATCCAAACAAGGAAACCCTTATGTATATACCATATGTCTCAAATTGTAGATAATTAAATATTAATCCTGATCTATGTATGGAAAGAAATACAACTGATCTACGTCTCACAAGAATCATACTTAGCCAAGAACCTAAGTCATGTAACCAGTCATCCTACACAGGTCACTGGCTCATATTATCGGATAACTGATAGATCACAAATCACAAATATCCCAACTCCTCAGACCCACCCCGGTGACTACACAAACTTCACCGGCGCGAGCCCGGAATACACAAATATCTCAACTCATCAGACCCACCCCGGTGACTACACAAACTTCACCGGCGCGAGCCTGGAATACAACCACAATCACAAATATCTCAACTCCTCAGACCAACCCCGGTGACTACACAAACTTCACCGGCGCGAGCCCGGAATACAACCACAATCACAAATATCTCAACTCCTCAGACCCACCCCGGTGACTACACAACTTCACCGGTGCAAGCCCGGAATACAACCACAATCGAAAATATCTCAGATCCTCAGACCCACCCCGGTGCCTCATAATACAACCACAATCACAAATATCTCAACTCCTCAGACCCACTCCGGCGACTACACAAACTTCACTGACGCGAGCTCGGAATATACATCAACAATCCCAACCGCTCACATGGACCAAGACTTCTCACCCCAATTCTCGTAATTCCAGGTCAACTACACACGAGGTTCTAGATCCTAACTGTGTCATACATGTCACTATAGTCATGTACTTCTCATGATTCTCAACATGGAATAATATATACAATTACGCTAAGTGTCAATTGTCATGAAGTATGAACAGGGATGGTGATCACATGCAAGAACATACGAGAGTAAAGTTCATATTAACAATGCAAGATGAAACTACCATTAACAGATGTTTCACACACAAAAATCAAAATCTCGGTTATTAATTCCAACAATAATTTTCTTTAAAATTATCTCTCATTATAAAAATTCTAAAATAATCTTCTTAAAATATATTTTATTATTATTTATGAACAGTAATACTTTTTATTTATAAATGATTTATATGATATTTTATAAAATAATCTAAAATAATCTTTTTCTCAAAATAAAATTCTTTTAATCATAACAATTATTCAAAAATACACCTTATCCAAAATAGATTATTTTCTCTAAATAATTCCTTTTAAAATATTTTCCTCATTATAATTAATTCTAAAAATACTCTATAAATATATTCTTCCTTTAAAACAATACGAAATTAACCATAAACTATTTTTTTTGACATACTTATTCATCATTTAGCATCGTTACATAGAATATATTCACCGCAATATTATCAACAACCACACAATTAATATCATATCAGCACAAACTAATCTACGCATATACGTAATAAATGCATAAGAGATAAAAATTAAATTAACGAGACAACGAGCAAGAGGGATCTTGCCTGTGAGACCATGGGGTCTGATGACGAGGCTACGATGCCGATGCGGACGCGACGTGTGGCGATCGAGGCGACGTAGCAGATGACGGTTCTGCAACTGGATGTGCGTTGACATATCATCGAACAGGTGGCGTGCGATGGAGGAAAAGAACGGGGCGGATGGAGGAGGACGAGGGGCTCGGGGCTGTCGGTGTCGGTTTGAGGGGGTGGTCGCTGCGAACGGTGAACGACGG